AATTTCCTATACGCGGTTTTAGAGTTATTATTATCCAAGCTAAGCAATTTTTATCTTTTTTGGTTGAACCTCCGCAGTTAGTCCTTCAACTATTCTATACACCTTTGAGTTAGTCCTTAAATTAAAAAAACTTCTGATTTAATCCTTAAAATTTTCAAATTTAGTTTTGAGTTGGTCTTCCCATTAAAAAATAATTAACATGTTCAATATTTAATAGCAAAAGATCATTACTTAATGGCAACGTACTACATTGATAACAGGAGACATTAATTGTTTTTGAATAAAATGACTAATTTAGAATTAAATTTAAAAATTTTAAAGACTAAATCAAAGATTTTTTAATTTAAGGATCAACTTAAAGATTTATACAATAGTTAAAAGATTAAATTGCAGTTTAACCTTCTTCTTTTAATCAGATTAAATGACGTTCAATTTCTCTTCTCCTTGGTAATGTTTGTTATGAAATGAAACTCAATTATCACTGTTGTATACCAATGGGGTTGATTCCCATATAACACCTTTTTTTTTATTATTATTTTGGTTGTACAATGGGAGACATTTATCTCATATCCCTCATCTTATTCCATCAGTTTATTATATTATTCGAATTCAAAACTTCTTATTTACGGCAGAAAAATATGACCACTAAATTATTTAAGTTGTTGTCATATAACATTTTTTAAAACCTCATATTTTTATAAGAAAATGTTGTCTTACTCAAAGCACATGGCATCAAAAAAAGAGTTTAATAACGAGAATGACTATCCAACTTCTTCTTTTTTTTTTCTTTTTTTGAAAGACAGCAATTAGTAGTACATAGTTTTAGGTATAATGGGAAATGAAGGAGGGGATTTCAAGGGGTTTATATACACAACTCACAAGAAATGATTTTTACTATCTAGTAGACTTTAGCTACTAGGTCGGACCATAAGGGTCGAATGGCTTTCTAACTCTAAGGGTTGGATACTAAGAAAATAAAGTTTTGTACCTTATAAAGAAATTAATTTCTTTAAATATAACATATTAATATGTAGAATATGTTTTTAAAGATAGAGAAAGACTATTTTCAAAATGCATAAAAATTAATTTATGAATATGACTATCCAAATTAAATATATATAT